TAAAAGCAAAACCAAGTCCTCATCTCTATAAATCAAACTCATATAAGTCGTTTATCTTAGTGTTAATTAAATTCAATCAAATCAAACTTAAAACCCCCTCTTGTTACTATTTATATAAAAGAAAAGTATTCCTTTCCCTGTGGATACGAACCTTACTTCACTATACTACGTATTAGTGTTGTATTGATTAATTATTTTGAGTGCACCTCATGACAAGTGCACGTCAATGGGCCGCACCAAACAGACCTCCAAACGTCAACGGGACAGCATAGGGGCTGGCTCAAGCCGAGCTGAACAAAGTGGGAGCCATCAGCCGGCTGCCCCATATTTGCCTCAATTTGTGGACGAAGCGCAATGGCAGAAATGTGATGAGCTGATGAACATGAGTGTGGGGCAACGATTGTATACCCATCTACCCACCCTAGGGCAGGCCGGCATACGGAATGAGGTCATGCAACTCCTCCATCGTGATTGGTGGCAGCACCTATTTTTTGGCATCGATGAGCCCACATTCAAAGAGATCACCTGTGAGGTGTTGTCTTCATTCAAGGCACCCAAGACCTTCGACAACGTTTTTCTCCCGGTGATCAAATTCCGAGCTTTTGGGGAGTCTCACATCATATCTTTGAGCGGTATTTCTACACATCTTGGCTTCAATACTCTCCCTGATGTGGCCCGGTTTGAGGGGAGCATACTAGACATTCCCCCAGAAGTCAACCGAAAAGACTTCTAGAAATCCATAGCCCCTGGTGCCGGTGATTACAAACCCCAGACGGCATCCAGCACTGCACTTCACCCATACCAATTCCGAGTGGTCCATGCCCTCCTTAGCTCTACTGTTTCAGGACGCGCAGAGCTTAGTGGAAAAGTCTCCGCCACTGATCTTTTCTGCCTTTGGTGCATGATCAACGAGAGGAGGCCGATTTTTGGAGCCCTATTCGCATGCCTGTTCCTCAGACAGGCGAATTATCGAGTTAAGGCGATTTTCACCCGTCCTTACATCACGCGCCTGCTGAAGGGGATGGGTTACGAAGACAAATTTGAGGGGATGATCTGGATAGATAGCACCCATCCGATGAAGAAGCTGCCTAAGATTATCCCGGTGAGGATACAGGAACAAGGCGCGGGAGCGGCAGAGGGGGAGCATGGAGGCGATGAAGAGGAGGATGACGAGCATGAACACGAGCATCGAGAGCGTGAGATGGAGAACGAGATGGCGCACGAGGTCCCTTATGTGCCTCCTCCCCAGGGTTACGTTTATCCCAACACCTGGGAGGGGATGCATCAGCATCAAGAAGACACCTACATGCGACTCTACCAGCACCAGCAGCAGTTTTTCGCTGACATCACATCTGGCCTAGCCTCGATCGACACGCGGCTGACAGCCCTGGAGAGTCGATGGGATGGCCAACACCCTCACGAGCACTACCCACCCCCTCCCCCTATTTAGATTTTTACCTGATATTTTATGACACTGATTCACCGCATACTTTATCAATTTGTCAATCTTGTTTGTGGATTTTGGATTCTGTATTGCTTTTCTTTTGTGAGTGCAGCTTTGTTTCGGGAAAAATCTTACTGAGCGGCAATGAACGAGGTAGCGGTAGAGGGTGGACCAGCTAAATGACCTAGGGAGTTTTTTTCTGTTCCTTACTCGCTTCCATACACCCGTTTTTAATTTTGACTTGAGTTAGGTTTGAGCACGCGTGACCCTTTCCTCTTTACCCCCTTGTGCATAGTGCCTATTTGGTCATCGAGGGCGATGCCAAAGTTTAAGTGTGGGGGAGTGAATTGGGCAGTCGGGCAGTAATTGTTACATGTGATTATTAGAGTTAGCATGCGCAGGTGTTAGTTGTATATTCATAGGAAATTCATGTCAAATTTTTGAAAATTTTTCTTTAAACTGTGTCTTTGTGAGCTGCTTAGCGTTTTGACTATGCTTTTGGAACATCTTTGAAGTGTTTAGGCTTAAATTGCTTGCACTATAATCTAGTTGCTGAAAGGATGAAGGCATTAGTCACCCATTGAATGAATTCATAAATTTTTCATCCACCTGAAAAAGTCCTTTAGGAGAAGCCATTTTCAGCCTAATCATTCCTTGTTTACCCAATTAATTGAGCTCCATAGCCAAATGGCCTGTTTTCTTACCCGTGAATATTTCTGACTTAGTCTTAATGTTTAGGGAATTAGGGGATTAATTTGTTGAGTTTAGGGAATTTGTGTAGGAGCCATTATTAGCACTGTTCCTATGCCCCAAATGGGGTAAGAGCAGTCACTTTTTAGGAACTTGATATTTTCGAGGATTGCATTGTAGGCATGGATTCACTTCTAAAATAAATGAACTTTAATTGCTACTTTTCCTTGGTGAGGCCGAGATTAGAATGGGGTAATGTCTAGTAAGAATTCGAAAGGTGAAAAATTAATATAGCTAGACCTCTTACCTTGCGAAAAAGAGAATGGGAGCCCGGGCCAAAAAGCGTAAGTGTTTTGCACAATAAGATGAGACTTGGGTATCTTTCGAAAGAAATGGCGTTCTCGTGCCAACATGACAAGGAAAACTAAACATAATTAATGAACTTGGAGGTTATTGAAAATTGGCTTTAGTTCTCCACGTACTTCAAGTATACGTCAAAGCATCAACGTGCCGCGGCGGTTTAGCTTAGTTGTACACCATGTCTACTCTTTGTATAGGTTTAGATGATTGTTCCTAAATTGTGGTCTACTGAGTTCTTTGATCCTAAGAATAGCCCTGAAGTTCCTGAATGCATTAAGTCTTTGTTAGAATATTTCCATCTCTCAAAAGAAAGGGACCATTTATTACCATTCACCATCACCCTCACAAGTCCTTCTGATTAATAACTAATTTATTTGTGTATGCTGTCATTACTTTAAGGATGTTGTGAATAATTTTGTCAAATAGTTTAGCTTGAGTACAAAGATGTAGTTTAGGGAAGAATTTTCCTGGTTTAGATTGTCTGTTCTGTGAATATCCCTTTAACTACGTGTGCATGCTAACTGTTTTGATTCCGTGTGGTGATTATCGTAAGTCCCATTGTTCGATTTGCTTCAGGACAAGCAAAAGCTTAAATGTGGGGGAATCTGATAAGTTCGTATTTCAACACGCTCTTAAGGCGTGTTGGAGTCGGATTTTGATGGTTTCCCTCGTTTTGAGGCATCATAAGTATCATATTTAGCTCAAGTCATGTTAGTTGGGTGTTGGAACGAGTTTTGGCATTTTTTAGATATGAAATCAGGTCTTTTAGGGCCCGGTATCGGCGCATTAAGGATTGATCGGGATGAGTTGAGGAGTGTTCGAGAATGAATTCAGAGTTTTGAAGGGCACCAGGAGATTCACGATGAAGATTTGATGAAGAAAGAGTTGTTCGATTGATCGCGGGGCCAAATAGGGACTTGAACGGGAGAAAACGAAGAATTCGGAACAAAAAGGGTCACGCACGGCCGTGCGTGCAAGGACGCACGCGTGCGTCCAATGAAGAAAACGAAGACTACCTTACTGCCAGCCACGCACACGTACGTGGCTAGGGACGCACGCGTGCGTCCCCCTTTTTATGCGGGCGTCTGTCGGACGCACGGACGCCACGCACGCGTGCGTGGTGCCGTGCGTACCCAAAATCTGTCCGAATTCACCCCAAATTGCCTTGTTTCCTATTAATACCACCCCCATAACCCTAATTAAGGGGGATGGAACTTTAGAGAGAGATTAAGGACGAGATTAGAGAGCTTTTTAAGCCAGGTTTTTCAATTCTTTAACATTCTTTGTAAGTTCCTACTTTTTAATTAATGTCAATTAATTCTATTTATCCCAATTCTATTGATTCTTCAATTATGAATAGGGAATAGTTTTAATTAGGGATTTGGGGTTGATGAAGGGGTTAATCATGATGTATGGTTAGGTTCTTGATGGTGTAAATTGCATGAATGTCGTTTAATTTGTGTTTGAATAATTTAATTGATATCTTTTGTAACCTAGAATGGCCACTAGAATTATAATTGCATATAGAATAAATTAAGAGAGATCTAATTTGTTCTAGGACACATTCACACACACTTAATCGTTCGCTAAGAGATTAGTAGCGATTAAGGGGTTGTAAGCTCGTTCGTCTTGGCAATAATTTAGGATCATGTCGCATGAGAGATCAGTCTGGTCCCCTAAATTATTGTACTCTACGTCGCGAGAGCGGTAAGAACTTAGTATTGATTAGCTAGGCTCAATTAAATTAAATTCATGTAATTAAGTCTGATCTGCCAGAAATCTGATTACCACGGAATCAATCCCTGTTCCCTTCGTTGTTAATTAAGAAGAACCCAATTATTTACTTTTAATCGTTTATTTGCAATTTTAGTTTTCTCAAGCAACCAAATCTCGCACGACCGCAACTGTTTTATTTATTCTTTATCGCTGATTTTAGTTAATTCTTAATTCCCTTTTACCGTCCCTGTGGAGACGATACTCGTACTTTCACCGCTATATTACAATCTTTTTAAGTGCGAGAAAACTCACATCAGCGACCGATTGCGCTTTGTAATGTTGTGTATAAGATTGTTTTCTAAAATCTTAGCTAATAGATTAAAGAGTCTTCTCCACAAGTGTATTTCTGAGCAACAAAGTGCTTTTATCCCGAGTAGATCTATTGTTGATAATGTCATGATTGCCTTTGAATCCCAACATTTTCTGAAACGTAAGACTCAGGGGAAGACTGGTTATGCGGCATTAAAATTGGATATGAGTAAGACATATGACCGAGTTGAGTGGTCGTTCTTGGAGGGCATGATGAAACATATGGGGTTTTCGGATAGGTGGATTAAAATTGTTATGTTGTGTGTGATGACTGTTACTTATTCTATCCCTTTTGAAGACACTGAAATAGGGCCAATTATTCCCTCCAGAGGGTTGCATCAAGGGGACGAACCCTTTATCTCCTTACCTGTTTATTATGATTATGATTGCAGAGGGGCTAAGTGCTCTACTCAGGAGACATGAGAGCTTGGGGCGGATTCATGGAGTAGCGATGGCTAGAGGAGTGTCGCGGATATTTGGTCTTCTTTTTGCTGACGATTGTCTGCTCTTCTTTCAAGCCAATCACGGAGAGGCAACAGTTATTAAGGAGTGCCTTCTTGATTATGAATATGCTTCGGGTCAGGTGGTTAATTTTAACAAATCTAAGGTTTTTTTCAGCTCTAACGTTTCAGCCAGCACTAGGGAGGGGTTAGTGGAGCTTCTTGGTGTGGGCCTCGCGACTGCAGAGGAAAAGTATTTAGGGCTGCCGGCTCTCTTCGGGCGGAATAAAAGGGAGATTTTGATTTATTTGAGACAGAGGGTGGTTAAGAGGATTCAAAGTTGGAACAATAGGTTACTTTCTCAGGAAGAGAGGTTCTTTTATAGACAGTGATTCAAGTCATGCCTTTATATGCGATGAATGTTTTTCTTCTTCCTAATGAGCTTTGTAAGGAACTGGAAATTCTTATGAATGGCTATTAGTGGACCGGTAACACTGGAAAGGGTATCCGATGGAGGGATTGGGAGTCATTTTGTAAATTCAAAAAGTTTGGAGGGCTGGGTTTTCGAAGAGTTAGGCAGTCTAACGTTGCTATGTTGGCTAAGCAGACGTGGAAATTATTCACCGAGACTGACTCTCTGGTCGGTCGTGTTTTTAAATCCCACTATTTTCCTAATGGCTCTTTTATTTCAGCTAGGCTTGGTAATAATCCTTCATTTATATGGCGTAGTATTTTTTAGGCTCAAACGGTTATCAGGGAGGGTTATCGTTGGCGGTTGGGGGATTCTATTAATGTTTGGGAGGATCTAAAGGTTGCACGGCTTCTTTTGCCCTCTTTTGAAGGTGGTTGGGATTCAGATTGGGCCAGTGAGCTTTTTAATGACAGGGACCGTAGGCTGATTCTAAGCATTCCCTTAAGCCGGAGAGCAGTTCCAGACCGTTCGTAGTTGCTATCGAAGACTCGTCGGGGAGATGTCTCTAGACGGGTGGTGGGGCTGGACATCGGCCTGGAAATGGAGGCTCCCACCAAAAATGAAGTCTCTTTTATGGCAGATTTGTAATGGTTCATTACCAACAACCATGAATCTTCGTCGACGGCGGGTGGACTGTGCCGTGAAGTGCGGGCTGTGTGGGCGGAGGACGAATCCCTTCTTCATCTTTTTGTATTGTGTCCAGTGGCTACTGCTGCGTGGCATTTCGTGGGCTGGGATTTCACAGGTCAGATTTTTACGTCCTTTTTGAGTTGGTTGGAGGGGGTTTTTTCTAGCAGAGAAGGGGAAGATTTGCTGAAAGTGGCGTGGGGATGCTGGGGCTTGTGGTCGGAACGAAATAGGAGGGTGTGGCAGGGGGAGTTTCTTGGTCCAGCTCAGATTATGCATAAAGCAGGGTGCTTCGTGGCTGCTCGGAGTTCGGCCCAGGTAGAGGACAAGTGGACGGCGCAAGGACTTGCGACAGTTGCTCAATGTTGGAAGAGACCAAAAGATGGATGGCTGAAAGTAAATGTGGACGCATCTGTGGGAGCAATGTTGGACTCATTTTCAAGTTTTGTTGTATAGTTTCAATCCTTACGAATGTCTAGCTTTCTAGTTTTACTGTTGCATTCCTATTTCTTTAGTACGAGGAGGGAAAAGCTTTTGTGCAAGAAGAATAGAAGATGAGGAAATGGAGAAGTCGTGTACGATGGTGTTCAGATTTGAAATCCGAGGGGGGTCTATGGGAATGTGTGTGGAATATTTTGTGTGTATAATTCTATCATAATCATTTAAAATCCATTGCAATAAATAATAAATGAAATATATGAAATGTTTGAGAACACTTGTATTTTGATAGATTCCATTAAAATCCATATTGAGCACACCTAATTTGTGATATAGAATTCTTAATTTCATAAAAATCTTTAACAATCCATATTGAGAACATCCCCTTACATTATACGCATGTGCATTATAGTCCTTTATAAATAGTCATAACCAGATGAGTTGAGACTGCTAATTCAACCAGCTTTGATCACCCTATTGTTGATGCAGCTTAGTAGCCTGTTGTTGCCATTCTCATCATTGATCCTCATTTTTTTCACCTCAAATTTAATGAATGGACTCATGCTTTCATTCCTCCATTGGTTAGGAACTTTTGCTTTCATTCCCCCTTGAATTTTAGCATATTTGCTTCGAAATTCTCCATGAGTTGTAACTTTGATTCAAAATGGACTGGCAAAATTGGTCAATAAGATGATGTTAGTAGGATGATCCTATGTTAGATCGGTGTTGATAGTATCGTGCTCTAATGATCTTTTAGGATGTTGTTGTCAGTAGAGTGCTCCTAATTTTCAACAGGACACTATTGTTGAAAGTTGGGGCTCCTAATGATAATAGGATGCTACTTAACAGTAGGGTGTTCCTTATATTTTATTCGAGTACAATTTTGATTTGAGGTTGGGATTCATGAGTTCCCACTCATTTTTAACCTTCTGTTAGGCTAACCTGCTGTTTTGATCCAATCCATCCATCATACTAAGCTCTTGCCTTAATGTGTTAAATCTTGTTTCACTAAGAGTTTTGGTGAATATATCAGCTAACTGGTTGTCAATAGGCACAAATCTAACCTTATGTTCTTCCCGGTTTCGGGCCCTTTCCAGTGGAATTTTTTGATAAAATGTTTTGACCATGTTTTTCATCAAGTCTAGTTTATCCATACCAAATTTCAGCTACAAATTCAATCAGGAATGCAGTCAAATATTTTTTTGAAAACCACTGCGCAGTTTATATATATTTAATTGCGCAATTTTCTTAAATAATTTATTTAACTGCCTTCCCGATTGAATTGTTATCTGAAATGTGGTATGGATAAACTAGACTTAATGAAGAACATGCTCAAAAAATTTATCAACAAATTCCACCGGGAAGGGCTCAAAACAGACTCAGCCGGACGGCGGTTCCCCATCAGGCCGGCTGGACGGGAAGACTACTCTCTCCCTCCCTCCCCCCCCCCCCCCCCCCCCCCTCTCCCCCCTTTAATAGCGATAAATCACAAACGTGCTAGACTACTAAGCGGCGGTAAACTTTTCATGATTGACGATAAATTCACAAACGCGCTAGGCTACTAAGCGGCGGTACACTTAGTTAGGTCGATGTAATTTTTAGTACACCATAATTTCATATATAATGGTAGATTAGAGAATGATTAGCTTGATTTTTGGACATGTAAAAAAGAATTAAATATGAAATTGGGAATTAGATTGAAATGTAAAATGAAATGGACATGTTATTAATTATTACATTTTGATGTATTAGTTTTATATAAATATTTTAATTCAATTTTGTCACTGTGATTAAACTGTTATATTTTACAATATCGATTACCCACATACCGGCAAGAAAGGGAAGACAATGATTTCGTCATTTTTAAGATAATTTTTTAAAAAACTCTTTGATGATCTACATTAAATGATATTTTGTTGATCAATAATATAGATGAACAATCTATTATTGATGAATTTTATACTTTAAGGTCGTGTCAAACATAACTTAAATGATATTTTGATATATGTGTCTTGAAATTTTATTTATTAGCCAACCCGATATTAACTTTTCTGAATCCATCCCTGAACACACACATGTTAAATAAGTACGTGGTATTTATTTAATACTCTTTAGAACATAACACTACCATTTAAAAAACTAAACTAAACAAAACTCTACTCTACCATTTAATGGCTCAAACAACTCATTTTCTTCTTAAGGAATAAGGACGTGTTGACACTTGTTTTCAAGTCATAAAATACGTAAGCGATGACTATATGACATCTATTATATATCATTTACTTATTATAAAGTATTAGGAAAAAATACGAAAAATGTACTTTTTTGGTTTGATCCATTATCATATAGGGACATTTGTTTCATTTTCTAACAAAATAGGACATGTTTCAATTCTGTTATCACACGAGGGGCATGACACCTAACGCCGTTAGAAATTGTCAGAAGAAGACAATGAACAATAACTCTGATTTTCAAAAATTCTTTAAAATTTGAAAGGAAAATATTGGGATGTGCGCCTCATCAAGGAGACCTCCAAAACATCTTCTTTAAATTTTTCTGCTTTGTTTGCATTATTTTTTCAAAACAAAGTCACTAATATCGGTTTTCCGGTGGAATTTTTCTAACGACAAGGGTAGTTGGAAACAAGAAAGAAAGTAATAGAATATTATTAGACATATTTGTTTCCTAATAGGTTTTAAACTCTTTTATTATATATGTTCAGTCCAGGACTCCTATTGGAGTACCTTTTCCCAAATATTCTCACATGGTATCAGAAGCCTAGGGCTAAAAAAAATTTCCGGCTGCAATCTCTCCCTCTTGTTCGCCGCAGCCAACGATGTCCACCACTCCCTCCGCCGTTTCCTCTGTCACGAAGGCAGCGTCGGAACCACCGTCCGCCGCACCGCTCACCACCGTTCCTGCCCCAATCGTACCACCTTCGGCAGCCTCCTTTGCGGTGGTGTCGACCCAGCAACCTTCAGGCGCCGTCTTCTCTCCGACGCCGCAGCCGCAATACTCGATACCTACGCCAGAATATTCTTCCTCCATCTGGACGCCGCCCCACCCGTACCAGCTTCTTCACAGCCTACCGGCGTCTCTTCCCTGGCCCTCGGCGGTTCCTCAGGCCAATTCCCAGTCCATCCCGCCATACTCTCCTCAATTTTATGGGCCTTCGTTCGTTGGATCCCCTGGAATTACACGGCCATCTCACGACCCTATTATGTGTGGGTCTTCTATGGCCCTATTGGCGCAATCCTTATCTCATGGTGCCAATGTCAGTCAGATTGTTACTATCAAGATCAAAGCTGTTGAAGACTACCTTACCTGTCGCACACAATTTGAATCTTTTCTGGTCTCTCAGGGTCTATTTGGAGTGATTGATGGTTCCATCCAGGTACCACCTATGTACACGCTGAATTTTAATAATCATCAAATCGCTAATACCGATTTACTATCATTGGCTTAGGGTAGATCAAACTATTCGTTCTTGGTTGTTTGCTACCCTATCTCGGGAACTATTAACTGATGTGCATGATATTAAACATTCAGCGGCTATATGGACTCGTTTAGAAACACGTTTTATGGCAGCTAGTTTACCTAGAGCCATGGACCTTAAACGCACTTTAAATTCCATTAAAAAGAAAGAAAATCAATCCATGGAGCATTATTTGCGTGATATTAAAAATCTGGTTGATGCTCTAGCTGCCATAAATTCTCCTGTGATCGATAAAGAAATATTGGAATGTACTTTGAATGGATTGGGACCTGAATACGCGTCTGTTGTGGGTACCATATCTTTATCCCCCCATGAATTTCCGCCTGATATCCTACAACCAAGACTGTTAGAGGCGGAACAGCGCGTACTTCATCAGCGTCGTCAGGAGTCTTCAAACTTGCAGCAGGCCTTCGGTGCACAAGCTGGTCCAAATCAGCCAGGTCAGCATAACCAGCAGCAGGCATACCGCGGTCGAGGAGGCCGCGGCAGAGGAGGCTGCGGCAGAGGAGGCCGCGGCAGAGGAGGCCGCGGCAGAGGAGGCCGCGGCAGAGGAGGCCGCGGCAGAGGCGGCCGTGGCAGGGGAGGCTGCGGCAGAGGTCGTGGACAGTTTCAGCAATTTTATCAGCCAGCCAACGACGTTCCACGTCCGCCGGTGATACCTGGATCCTCGGCCACAAGGGGTGCTTTCACCTTGAGTACACCAAATGCTTCCGCGGGTAATTCTGTCATGTCCAATTTAAATATTAATGCTAAATCTTCTTTTGGTACTCACTTTCTTTATGCAGGTTTCCCATCACAAGAGGGTATTCTTGGCTCCGTTCCTTCCCCAGTTGTGTGTCAAATTTGTTTCTTTGCAGGTCACTCTGCACTACACTGTCCGTCTCGTTTTACTCCAGCCTCTGCGCCTGCTTTGGTTGCTCCCAGTGGGGAATCCAACGATGCTCTGTGGTATCCGGACTCCGGTGCTTCTGCTCATATGACGTCGTCTGAAGGTATTTTGTCCAATAAATCTCCTTACTATGATTCCATGACTGTTAGTGTAGCGAATGGTACTACTCTTCCTATTGCTAATATTGGAAATATTAGATTTAATACTCTCAGTCGCCCATTGTCATTAAAATCTATTTTTCATGTGCCTCGACTTAAATTTAATTTAATTTCCATTCAAAAATTATGTGCTGATAACAACTGTGTTGCTATTTTTGACAAAAATTATTTTTTTGTTAAGGACAAAACTTTGGGGGCAGTTCTTCTTCAGGCGCGTCATAATGGTCATGTCTATCCTATCAGCCTCAGTCCGTCTACACCTTTAGCTTTAGCTACTATTTCTTCTCTTGGTCCTGTGTGGCACCGTAGATTAGGACATTGTGGCGAATCTGTTTTACGTGTGTTGCGTAGCAGAAAACTTATTTCTAGTTCCTCAAATTTTGAACATGATTGTGTTTCGTGCCGTTTGGGTAAGTCCCAACGGTTACCTTTCTCGGATGCTAGTCATACTACTTCTGCTCCTTTACAATTAATTCATTCTGATGTGTGGCAATCTCATGTTCTCTCTGATTTAGGTTTTAAATATTATGTGTGCTTTATTGATGATTTCTCTCATTTTACTTGGGTGTATCCCTTGTGCACCAAAAATGAAGTTTTTCACCAGTTTCGTCTTTTCAAACTTTTAGTTGAAAATTTATTTAATTCTAAAATTAAATTTTTTCAAAGTGATGGAGGGGGTG